AAATAATTTTATGGTTGGGGGGTCACCACAACATAACGAACTGTATTAAAGGGTCGCGGCATGAGGAAGGTTGAGAACCACTGGTTTAAACGATCCTTTTATTATATTTAAAAATGCATGCATTCACAGGAAAATCTCTCCACACTCCCAAGCTTCGGAAATAAATAGTAGAAAAACCTCAAAAGCTAAACAGGAAGAAAACAAAACAAAAAGGAAAAGAAGCAGATTGGAAAAAAGGAGAGGAGAGTTGGAGTTGAGAGCCTGTCCCGGTTTGGACTACAGCTCCCAGTTGCGTTCCAAAACTGGGCTTTTAAGCCTCTCTGCAACACTAAATAGCACACCATTTTTTGTAAAAAGTGTATTTAAAACACATACACATTCGCCTCTCCTTCCCAAAAGACATACATGCAAGCGAACCACAAAGCGATCTTCTGCACTGTAGAATGAATACGGTTTGATCCCACGTTGGACCGCCACGGCTCAATGTTATGGAATCATGGGCATTGTAGTCTTCTTCTTTCTCTGCCCAAGAGTTCTGCCGCCTCGCCAAACTGCAACTCTCATCATTCCATAGCATTAAAGCGATGTCGAACTGCATTCATTCGACAATGTGGATGGACCCGTTGCCTCTCTCATGCGCACTAAACACTCAGACACACTCAACACAACACAACACAACACAACACAACCTTGCTGTCATTGTGAGACTCCGTAGTGTAAGTGTGCATCTACACCAGGCATGGGCAAACTTGGGCCCTCCAGGCGTTTTGGACTCCAACTCCCACAATTCCTAACAGCCGGTAGGCTGTTAGGAATTGTGGGAGTTGGAGTCCAAAATGCCTGGAGGGCCCAAGTTTGCCCATGCCTGATCTACACTGTGGGATGAATTCAGATTGACACCACGTTGAACTGCCATGATTCAATGCTAAGGAACTCTGGCAGTTGTAGTTTGGCGAAGTACCATTACTCTTGAGTAGAGGCCTTGAAAAACTATAACTCCCAGGATCTCATAATGTTGAGCCATGGCAGTCCCAACTGCAGTCATTCTATCATGTAGATGCACCCAGTGTAAATCCAATAACCATGGCGATTGTGATTGTACGGAGTGGAATTAAGCTCATGCGGCGGCGCGCTTGAGCTTATGCGCATCGCACTATTGTGTGATGAATAGACTCCACTCCACTCCTTTGAGCCTTTGTAGGCCTCTTTGTGTTTCTGTGCATGTACAAAATTCCTGCGATGTGGCCCCATTGTGCAGTGATAAGCTGACTCACAAAGTGCAACGGTGCACTATGATGCGCCAGGGCACACGCAGCTGTGTCAAAAGGCTCCTTCTCCTTCCCGTGTTTACATGCACGCACAAACACACAGACCGACAAAATACGTTCCATCCTCAGCACATGCACTCTTAATGCTCAACCACACTAAAATCCACACTCCCACACTTCTATAATAATAGGACCTGCCTAGTGTTTACTCTTTCTTTAAAATAGCACAAATATCATTGTCCCTTTGCGGCGGCGAAGGGCGCATCTACACTGCCGAATCAATGCAGTTCAACCCCACTTGAACCGCCACAACTCAATACTATGGGAACATAGGAGTTGTATGTATTGTCGAAGGCTTTCATGGCCGGAATCACTGGGTTGTTGTAGGTTTTTTCGGGCCGTATGGCCATGTTCTAGAGGCATTCTCTCCTGACGTTTCGCCTGCATCTATGGCAAGCATCTTCACTACCTCTGAGGATGCTTGCCATAGATGCAGGCGAAACATCAGGAGAGAATGCCTCTAGAACATGGACATATAGCCCTATATAACAACCCATAGGAGTTGTAGTTTGGTGAAACCCCAGCAGAGAAGACTAAGGACCTTGTGAAACTACAACTTCCAGGATCCCATAGCATTGAGCCATGGCAGGTAAAATGGTACCAAACTGCATTAACTCTATAGTGTAGATGCACCCGAGGAAAGCAGAATTTCCCAGCGTTTCTTCCTGGAAGGTTGTTTCTTTGGGTGCCGTCTCTTTTCTCCACCGGTTTACGACCTTTGGACTTGTGAAATGGGAGACTTTGGATAAGTTCTTCTCCCTGAGTCTCTCTCACACAAAGGTCCTTCACAGAGTGTGGGTGAAGCCGCAGAAAATGAACAAAGAAGGGGAACGCTTTTATTATTATTTTCTGGATCTGGTCGAAAGATTGCGATGGGACTTTTGGGGTACAAATACGCATCCATGTTTGGATTTTTTGAACGTCCATTTCTCTGGTTCCTTTCACCCCCTGAAAACGGCCATATCCCCAGGAAATATTGAATGCATCTACACCAGGCATGGGCAAACTTCGGCCGTCCAGGTGATTTGGACTCCAACTCCCACAATTCCTAACAGCTGTTGAATGCATCTACAACAGGCATGGGCAAATTTGGGCCCTCTGGGTGTTTTGGACTCCAACTCCCACAATTTCTAACAGCTGTTGAATGCATCTGCACCAGGGATGGGCAAATTTGGGCCCTCTGGGTGTTTTGGACTCCAACTCCCACAATTCCTAACAGCCGGTAGGCTGTTAGAAATTGTGGGAGTTGGAGTCCAAAACACCTGGAGGGCCCAAATTTGCCCATGCCTGATCTACTCTGCGGGATGAATGCAGTTTGATACCACTTTGAACTGCCATGATTCAATGTTAAGGAACAATGGTAGTTGTAGTTTGGTGACGTACCATTACTCTTGTGCAGAGAAGGACTTTTAAAACTACAAATCCCAGGATCCCATAATGTTGAGCCATGGCAGTGCAAAGTGGCATCAAACTGCAGTCGTTCTTCAGTGTAGATACACCCAGTGTATATGCCAGTGTTTGACGGCACTTTGAACTGCTACAACTCCAGTAGTTGTAGTCTGCCGGAGTATTATTCCTCTTGGGCAGAGAAGGCCTTGTGAAACTACAAATCCCTGAATCCCATAATGTTGAGCCATGGCAGTGCAAAGTGGCGTCAAACCGCAGTCGTTCTGCAGTGTAGATACATCCAGTGTATATGCCAGTGTTTGACACCACTTTGAACTGCTACAACTCCGGTAGTTGTAGTTTGGGGAAGTACTATTCCTCTTGGGCAGAGAAGGCCTTGTGAAACTACAAATCCCAATATCCCATAATGTTGAGCCACGGCAATACAAAGTGGCACCAAACTGCAGTCATTCTACAGTGTAGATACACCCAGTGTATATCCAGTATCCAGCTGGAAGGCAATTAGGGATTGTGGGAGTTGAAGTCCAAAACACCCAGAGGACTGAAGTTTGCCCATGCCTGATCTACACTGTGGGATGAATGCAGTTTGACACCACTTTGAACTGCCATGATTCAATGCTAAGGAATCTAGTAGTTGTAGTTTGGCGAAGCACCATTACTTTTGGGCAGAGAAGGCCTTGTAAAACTACAAATCCCAGGATCCCATAATTTTGAACCATGGCAGTGCAAACTGGTGTCAAACTGCAGTCATTCTACAGTGTAGCTACACCCAGTGTATATCCAGTATCCAGCTGGTAGGCTAGTAGGAATTGTGGGAGTTGAAATCCAAAACATCCAGAGGGCCAAAGTTTGCCCATGCCAGATCTACGCTGTAAAAATAATGCAGTTTGGCATCACTCTAACAGCCATGACTTGATGCTGTGGGCGTAGAATTGTAGGGGTTGTGGGATTCCATGACAATGAGCCATGGTGGTTCAAGTGGTGTCAAACTGCATTAACTTTACAGTGTAGATACATTCCTATTCATACCACATTGGGCTATTGTGTCCGGACACACAAAAGCTGAGAAGCGGAGAGGAAGAAATGGTATGCGGTTGCTCAGCAACCACAATGCGTGCCTTTCTCTCTCGGATATTTCCACAATTTTCTACCCGGGGATGTTACGCCACCGGCCTCTCCTTTCCCTTTACAGTTTACCCCTCTTGACTTTAAACAAAGCAACCAACACAATGACAGGAAAAAAAGGAGGCTTGTAAAGGTTGGCACCATGACTCAGGGTGCATCTACACTGCAGAATGGATGCAGTTTGACACCGATTTGATTGCGATCGTACTATGCAAAGGGAGTTGTAGTTTTATAAAGACCTTCTCTGCCAAAGAGTACTGAAAACTACAACTTCCATGCTTCCATGCCACTGAGCCACAGCATCCATTCTACAGTTTAGTGGTACTTTAGAAGTCATTCATTCTCTTGGTGAATCTTGGGATTTGTAGTTTTGAGCAGTATCCCTAAGAAACGCTAATGCGAGAGTTGGCAACTTGAATCCCTCAAATTTTTTGGACCACAAATCCCATGTTAAGCAGGGAATTGTGGGAGTTGTAGTCAACAAAAAAAATAATCGAAATAGAGTTGGCTCTTGGTATCTGCTGGGACATGGTTCCAAGACTCCGTATCGATCCCAGAATCTGTGGATGCTAAAGTTCCATTGTCTACAATGGGATACTAAAGTGGTGTCCCTTATATAAAATGGCAAAATGAAGATTTCCTTTATGGATATGGATATGGATATGGATATGGAGATATATATATATATATATATTCAGGTTGTGGATGGTGAAATCCATGCTTGCAGAATTTGCGGATAATGAGGTTCAACTGTACTGTATATCCCAATTCTGCATTCCCAATATTCCCATAATATTCCCATAATGCTCTGATACCATTTTAACTGCTGCATCCCAAACATGCTGGAAAGTGTAACCTGACACTAGAATTCTCTGGCATATAATTCTAATATAATGTGGAATTACAAATCTTAGCAGTCCATAGAAACGAATTGTGGCCATTAAAGATGTAGAATGCTGCAGGTCCTCTGGTCTACTGAGATTGCAGCTCCCATAATCCCTCACCATTAGTGCTGGTGGCTAGAATGGATGGAGGAAAGCGACATAGGGAGAGCCAAAAATTGCCCATTGCTGCTGTGAAAGCATTCTTCCCTTTTCCCTATGACAATTCCTAAGATTCTTAGGGACAGAAGAAGCTGTAAAACCATATATATGTGTGTGTGTGTGTGTGTGTGTGTGTGTGTGGTTGGATTTGTCCACTGCGCTGCAGCATAATGGTGTGGGTTCTTTGGTGCCATCTGGTGGAAGAAAAGGGGATTACATGCTGCCTACATTGCCCCCTGGTGGACCGAAAGGGGAAGACGCCTCCGTGATCCTGGAGCTAGGACAGGGGCACGCACAGTTCAAGCTCCCATAGCCCACGGGGCCACAGAAGGGAAATTTATAGGAAGAACTGGGCTAGCGAGGTAGACTGGGGAGTCGGGGGTTCAGCAGCCTCCTCGCCGGACCCTCCGGCAGCGTCCCCCAGGAGCTTCTGGCACCGGGCCTTGTAGACATCTCGCTCGTGGGCCACCCGGGCCATCTCCACCCGCAGGGCTTCTAGCTGCTGGGCCAGCTGGCACTTCTCTGCCTCCAGGACGTGGCGCTGCTGGACCCGCTTGAAGCGGCAGGACTGGGCATAGCCCCGGTTCTTGAGGGTGCGCCGCTTCTGCTTCAGCCGCTGGACCTCATCCTTGCCGAAGCCCCGCAGCTGGCGGTTGAGGTCCCGCACCGACATGGAGACCAGCTGGGCGTCCGAGAAGCGGTCCGAGAGCATTGGTGGGAGCTGGGAGAAGAAATACAGGGAAGGGGAACATAATTGAGAATCAAAGCACCCTCAGACATTTGCACCAAGGACCCTTGCGCATTTTATGGAGGTTGACCATCAAGTGGCACTGGAGGACCTATCAAACTGTGTTGGAGAATAATGCCTGTTCTCTCTAGGAATATCCTAGACTAGGGAACGTATTGATCAAATCTATAAAAGTTAAACCTGCAAACTATACAGTGATAGAGTTATAGCCTGATCACTGTCTCCCAAAGCAGTTATTATACTACCAACTCAAGAACGGGAAACATAATGTTAGTGGACAGGAAAAGAGATTGAAAGATGGGCTTAAAGCCAACCTTAAAAACTGGGCATAGACACTGAGAACTGGGAAGCCCTGGCCACTCAACGGTCTACCTGGAGGTCAGCTGGGACCAGCAGTGCTGCGGAATTCAAAGAGGCACAAATGGAGGGTGAAAGGGAAAAACGTGCCAAGAGGAAAGCGTATCAAGCCAACCTTGACCTTCCACCTGGAAGCTGCGGGTGAACATGCAGATCAAGAGTAAAGCTCCACAGCCACTTACAGACCCATCACCGAGACACTACACTTGGAGGACCATCATCCTTGGGCTATGAGGGATCACCTAAGTAAATAATTCTATATTAAATACCTTGGCTGCATCCTATGGGATCATTACGGTTGGTAGTTTGTGAGGGATAAGAGCTCCCTGGTGAAGAATTTTACATCCCCCCCCTCTTCCTAAACTACAAATCCCAAGATTCCACATAATGGAGCCATAGCATTTAAAGTGTCATCAAACTACCATAATTCTGCAACACTGGCTCAGAAAAGTCTTTCTTTGGGTTGCAGCTCACAGAATCCACCACACGCCAACTTTCAGCCTGAACTTTCTTTGGTTTCTAAAGACATATTTTGATGGTCTTTGGTGAAGTAAAAGTCTATTTGCATCCCTAGCCAAGACCTTCTCTTGCTTTCTGAACAGACAGCCATTGATCTAACTCAGTACTTCTCAACCTGTGGGTCTCCAGATGTTTTGGCCTATAATTCCCAGAAATCCCAGTCAGTTTACCAGCTGTTAGGATTTCTGGGAGTTGAAGACCAAAACATCTGGGGACCCACAGGTTGAGAACCACTGATCTAACTCATCCTAGAAAGCCTGCTCCCAGACTCCAGTTAGAGGAAAATATGCTCTGCACATGCTCAGAGACCTTGTCACTTTGCTGCTGACAGTCGGCAGCAATTAAGTGTTAAGGAAAAGACACTCTGTACATGCTCAAAGAGCTTTTGCGTTGAGATCAGGCATGCAACACTCACCGCAAAAATCTATCCCTTAATCCCAAAAGTTTAAGAAGGGCTCATGGTAAGGTAATTCATACAAACTCAGAGAGATGTCACATGTTACAAGATGGGGATTCTAATTCAGAGCTTGGTAACTTTTCTTTTTGGAACTACAATGTCCAGAATCCCCCAGCCAGCATAGAGGGATTCTGGGCACTGTGGTCCCAGAAAGATACGTCTTCCTGTATTTCCCCCGTCGATGGAGATCCTTGCTCTTTGTCCTACCTGTTGTTGATCTCCTCCAAGCCCTTCGCCGGCTCCAACAAAACCCTGGATTTGCGGGGTGGCTCTTCCCCGGAGCCCTCCTTCCATCACGGGGACCCCTAAGAATGCCTCCACAGCCTCATCCAAACCGGGCATCATTTGGGTCTCGGGACCACCCCCTGCTGCGGCAGCCGCCAGGGTCTGGTGCAGTGTGGCCATCCAGTAGAGCTCCTCCAGCGTGGACTTGGGGTCCCCACCGGCTTTGTCGAAGGTGGGTGAAGGGGGCACGGAGCTGCAAGGGGTAGAAGTCAATGAGGAGCTACCCCCCGGCCTTGGGGCCTCCTGCTTCACCTCGAACTTCAGCAGGTCGAAGTCGTCCAGGTAGTCCAGTGCCAGTGGGCTGGGCGCCATGGCACTCATCCTGAACGGGAGCAGAGAGAAAAAGGAGATTAGAAGGACAAAGCCAAGCTTCTCCCTTGACTCTGGAGGGTTGGATTAATGGATTACAGCCATAGCACCATCACCCAATGGTATCCTCTTCTTTAGGGTTTATGGAGGTACCTTTTGCCCTTGGTCCAGTCGTCAAATCTCCTTAGGGAGATCCATGCGATCCCTTTCAAACCTCTTTAGAGATGGTCGTTGGGGACCTTTCTAATTCTATATCTTTGGGGTCTGTTCCAAACCTCCTTAAGGATTACCCTTCGGGTCCCTTCTGACTCTATAATATGCACTGGACATGAACGCCAGGGACCATCCAGTCCAACACCAATCTGCCACCAGCCAAACCCTCCCAGCAGATGTCCATCCACCCTCTGTTTCAAAAAACCTCCAAAGAAGGAGACATCACCACAGTCCAAGGCAACATATTCACTCCCAAATAGTTTTGACCATTGGCAGTTCTTCCTAATGTTTAAGTGGAATCTCTTTTCCTGCGATTGTAATGCATTGCTCCATTGTATCCTTGTCTTTACATTGTATCCTGCCTCTTCCTCAATGGCACATCCTTTCCAATATTCGCACATGGTTCTCATGTCCCCTCCTCATCTTTGACTGTTTTGGTCTCCCTTCCGTGGACATATTCCATCTTATTCATGTCCTTCTTGAACAGCTTTGCCTAAAACTAGATGCAGGGTTATTCCAGCTGAGGTCTGACTAGGGCAGAATAGGAATCGGACTATTCAATCTGGACATTATTCTCTGATTGATGAGACTAGATTCACATTGGCACCACGCTGTTGCCATTCATTGTACCAGAGCCCCCGGTGGTGCAATGGGTTAAACCCTTGTGCCAGCAAGACTGAAAGATCAAAGGCTTGAATCCAGGGAGAAAGTGGATGAGCTCCCTCTGTCAGCTCCAGCTCCCCATGTGGGGACATGAGAGAAGCCTCCCACAAGGATGGTAAAACATCCAAATAGCCAGGCGTCCCCTGGGCAACATCCTTGCAGATGGCCAATTTTCTCACACCAGAAGTGACTTGCAGTTTCTCAAGTCCCTCCTGACATGAAAAAAAAATCATTGCACCCATAAATGGTGCAAAGCATGGTGCTTTGGATTTGGGGAAACTATAATTCCTAAATCCAGATGAGGCTGTGAATGGTTCCAAACCATATTTGAACTCACAAGACACATATGTACCAACAAAAGTATGTATACACTAAGTGTGTTGACCAGCAGTGCATAACTACACCTATGCTCACATAGGACCAGCTGACAAAATCCCACCCAAATAGTCACACTGCCCTATAGAATCACATCCGGACCTAGATTACTGTGGCAATCGGATGCTCTGGTCAGTAGGAATGTCCATTTGCAAGGACAAACCATGAGAAAAGTTTATGCCTCATGAGGAAAGAAATGAGGAGCCCCCAATGGGTTAAACCACTGAGCTGCTGAACTTGCTGATCAAAAGGTTGCTGGTTTGAATCCAGGGAGCGGGATAAGCTCCTACTGTTAGCCCCAGCTTCTGCCAACTTAGCAGTTCCAAAAATGCAAATGTGAGTAGATCAATAGGTACCGCTCCGGCGGGAAGGTAACGGCGCTACATACAGTCATGCCGGCCACATGACCTTGGAGATGTCTATGGACAACGCTGGCTGTTCAGCTTAAAAATGGATATGACTGGACTTAATGTCAGGAAACCTTTACCTTCAGGGAGGAAATTGCCATTTCTGCACAGAACTCTGTCCATATTTGAAAAATCCAAAACATTTTGCAAAATCATTCTGCACAGAAATACATTGTGTACAAAAAAAGAAATTTTCTGAAGAAAACAAAATACCTTAACTCTTCAGACTATTGAGAAACTATGGTCCCACAGTCCTGCAGCTCTGATAGTCTTCCCAGTGAGATTCCCTCACTTAGTTTGGACCAGGAAATAAAAGGAATAAATTGAAAATATCATTTCCCTGTAGCTTAGGAGAGTTTTTAGACTCCAGTGCCCAGAATCCCCCAACCAGTATGGCCAGACTTGGGGGAGTTTTAGTCAAAATGTCAACTTTCTCTGCCTCGCTCCAAAGGGTAATTTCCTCCTCTGGCTTTCCTCAGCAGAAGGATTTGTGATTCAAAATCAGTTCCCTTAAAGTTCTCATAGATTTATCTGAACTCCTACCAAGCTTTAAAGCAGGCATGGGCAAACTTTGGCCCTACAGGTCAAAGTCCAAAACACCTGGAGGGCCAAAGTTTGCCCATGCCTGCTTTAAAACAAGAAATAGACACATTTGACACTTTTCCTGGCCATTCTCTTGCTTATGTCCTATCTCTGATGCGCAGCTGAAGGATCGAACTCTTATCAGCCCAACAGACTTGTGAGATGATGGCACCACAAGAGTGCAATAACGTTGTGCGCTCAGTTTGACCATCATCATGAAAGGCTATCCCAGATCTCCTTGATTCATTTTTATCACAGTGCACACATATGCACTCTCGCACATGTATGTGCCATGTGCATCCACTCACACACTTTGTTTTCTATTTGTATCCGCTTATATACCTCACCATCACACTTATGGCTTGACCTTCCATGATCATATCCTTTTCCTTTTTTAAATCAAGGAGAGTTATTAAAGGCTACAGTTCTTACACACTCAAGTAGTAAACCTCAGGGGCATACTTCTCAGAAGACCTGTTTCCAAATGATCTGTAATGTTTTCCAAGTAGGCAAAGGTGTATAGAGCTGGTTCCTTTCGCTGCCCACAATGCACATATAATCAAACAGGGATATGGATCTGATTCTATTCCCTGCTTAGATTATGCGTATAAAAAGGGCCATAGCTCTGGCTCCATTTCCTGCCTGCTATGAACATACAACCCTATAGACATAAATCTGACTCCATTCCCTGTTTAGATTTACATGTACAAACAGGGACACTTCTGGATCCATTTCTTGCCTGCTATGAACATGCAATCAGTGTTTCTCAACCTGGAAGTCAGGATCCCTGGGGGTGTCGCAAGGGGATATCAGAGGGGTCACCAAAGACCATCAGAAAACACAGTATTTTCTGTTGGTCATGGGGGTTCTGTACAAGAAGTTTGGCCCAAATCTATCATGGGTTCAGAATGTCAGGGTTCAGAATGCTCTTTGATTGTAGGTGAAATATAAATCCCAGCAACTACAACTCCCAAATGTCAAAGTCTATTTTCCCCAAACTCTACCAGTATTCATATGTGGGCATATTGAGTATTCATGGCAAGTTTGGTCCAGGTACCAACTTTTCTGAGATCTGGCTAGATAGAAAGAGGAGTGGAAGGTTCAGAAACAATGCTATAGACATAGATTTGGCTCCATTCCCTGCCGGCAAAGCACATACAATCAAATGCATATGAGTCCATTATTTGCCCGCAATACACATGGATATAGATCTGCATTCATTCCCTGCCCCTGGTGCATACAATCCTAGGCATAGATCTGGTCCATTCCCTATCCACAATGCATATGAAATCAAACAGGGCCATAGATCTGACTTCATTCCATGCTCACTATGAATATACAATCAAATTGACATAGATCTGGATCCATTCTTTGCCTGCAATGCTTATACAATCAAACGGAGACACAGATCTGATCCATTTGCTGTCCACAATGCATATACAATCAAACAGGGCCATAGATCTGTGCCTTTGATGCTCATATCATCAAACAGGGCCATCGATCTGGGTCTGTACCCTGTCCACAATGCACACACAATCAAAGAGGGACACTCCTCTTTCTATCTAGCCAGATCTCAGAAAAGTTTCATCCTAATTGCAACCTCCAGAATCCACTACCAGCTGGTTGGATGATTTGAGGAGTTGCAGCTAATCTTTTCCAAGCTATGCTCCAAACACACTGTGAAGGAGCAAAATAAAACAATCACCCAGGACTTTGCCCTGGCTAGTTCCTTGGGGCAGAACCACTTGCCGTACCCACCTGTGTGTTTGGGGGTCCATCTATCTTCCTTTTTTAGAAAACCCAGCTCTTGGAAGGGGAGGGATCCTGGTGTTTTCCCCGTGCCCCTGCGCACCGGTGCCAGGGAAGGGTGGCTGGCAAATGCCAATCCCAGAGACCAGAGGCAGGACAGCGGGGCTCCCTATAAAGCCCTGGGGAAGCTGAGCTCATTGGCATACATTAACAGCCGGCCAATGAGGACCTTGGACTGCATTAGCATAGCTGGAGGAAAGAGGCACACACAACCGTGGGATGAGTAAGCCAAGGGTTGTCCCTGCGGCCTCCTTCTTCTCAGACTTTGAAGAAGCCACTTCCTTTTGCGTTTCTTCCTTAAGTGGCCAAAGAGAAGAGGACATTCTTGGGTTTCGGCTTCAAACAGCCAAAGCTGACCCAAGGGTTTCTGCCGCCTGAGGATCTACACTGGATCTGGATCTACACTGCCTGTGGACCCATATAATACACTTCAATGCAATTCAAACTGCAGTGCAATGAAAGCACAGATTCATTAACTGCAGTTTTTTTTTCATGTCAGGAGCAATTTGGGAAACTGCAAGTCGTTTCTGGTGTGAGAGAATTGTCTGTCTGCAAGGATATTGTCCAGGGGACGCCCAGATGTTTTAGATGTTTTACCATCCTTGTGGGAGGCTTTTCTCATGTCCCTGCATGGGGAGTTAGAGCTGACAGACGGGAGCTCGTCCACGCTCTCCCTGTATTTGAACCTGCAACCTGTTGGTCTTCAGTCCTGCCGGCACAAGGGTTTAAACCATTGCACCACTGGGGGCTCCGGTAGGCTGTTGGGAATTGTGGGTGTTGAAGTCCAAAACACGTGGAGGGCCAAAGTTGGCCCATGCCTGGTCTACACTGACCATAATACATCGAGACACTATTAAAACTGGGCTGGCCAGAGTAGTGGGTACAGGATTAAAAGTGCTGATGTGGCAGGAGGTATGTAGGATTATAAAGTAAGTGCAGTGTGCAGTGTGCAGTGATCTTAGTTCTACTAAAGTGCTTCTAGGACTTGGTATTGGGGGGTTCCTAATCTGGGAAGGCACATCGGTACAGCCAGGTCTTCAAGTTCTTTCTGAAGACTGCCAGGGTAGGGGCCTGTCTAAGATCTTTTGGGAGGGCGTTCCAGAGTCGGGGGGCCACCACAGAAAAGGCCCTGTCTCGAGTCCCCACCAAGCGCGCTTGCGACGCGGGCGGGATCACGAGCAGGGCCTCTCCAGATGACCAAAGTGAACGAAATGAATTATATCTTGTAAGCTGTTCTGAGTTCCCTTCAGGGTGAGAAGGGTGGCATATAAATACAGTAAATAAATAAATAAACTGGTACCAAACTGCATTATTTCTTCAGCGTTGATGCACCAGCTATCATGGAGTTTTCTTGTGAGGCTGAGACAGAGTGATGCACTCATGGCCACTCCGTGGGTTTCTGTGGCTGCCCATTCCTGTCATCCTCTGGTGTTTGCTGCTCCTATTGATAGCATGCAGAACCCAGTAAATAAATTTTATTGATCAGCCCTTACACCAGCATTTCTCAACCTGGAAGTCGGGATCGCTGGGGGGGGGGGTTGTGGGGGTGTCAGAGGGGTCACCAAAGACCATCAGAAAACACAGTATTGTCTGTTGGTAATGGGCATTCTGTGTAGGAATTTTAGCCCAATTCTGTCATTGGTGGGGTTCAGAGTGCTCTTTGATTGAAGGTGAACTATAAATCCCAGCAACAACAATTCCCAAATGTCAAGGTCTATTTTCCCCAAATTCCACCAGCGTTCACATTTGGGCATATGGAGTATTGGTGCCAAGTTTGGTCCAGATCCATCATTGTTTGAGTCGACAGTGCACTCTGGATATAGGTGAACTACAACTCCAAAACTCAAGATCAATGCCCACCAAACCCTTCCAGTATTTTCTGATGGTCATGGGAGTTCCAAACCAAGTTTGGTTCAGTTCCATCATTGGTGGAGTCCAGAATGCTTTTTGATTGTAGGCAAACTATAAATCCCAACAACTACAACTCCCAAATGACAAAATCAATCCCCACACACACAGCTCCACCAGAATTCAAATTTGGGTGCATTGGGTATTTGTGCCCAATTTGGTCCAGTGAATGAAAATACATCCTACATATCAGATATTCACATTTCGATTCATAACATCATTGTAGCAAAATCACAGTTATGAAGTAGCAACGAAAATAATGTTATGGTTGGGGGTCACCTCAACATGAGGAATTGTATTAAGGGGTCACGGCATTAGGAAGGTTGAAAACCACTGCCTTAGGCCATATCACTATACCGAACCAAACAACAAAGCTTGATATAACTAAATAAAACTAAGTTAAACAAGACACTTATAATAATACAGTAAATAAGTATAATAAAACTGAATATATATATGTGAGATATATATATATATATTCCCTGTTCCCCCTACCATTTACCTTGATCAGCCCCACATATGAGTAGAAGCCAGTAGTTTTGGAGCATGGATGGGCAACTGAACAGGTCCAGGGCCCACTTGATGCATGGGATTCTCAGAGATTTTGTGACACACTGAAAAATGTATGGTCCACATACATTTAACCCATATCCGTTTAGATCTTTGGTAAAACGTTCTATTCTATTTGCTCTCCTTGCAACTGCAAATGACCTCTAATGCTGTCTGAACACACAAACTCAGAACAACCAGACACACATTCCTAATGCATGTGCAGAAAAGGGTGTTACTTGTTATTTAGTTGTGTTATAAAGCAACGACTACCGAAATTCCTTGTGACTCTGAGCAAGTCACAGTCTCTCAGCCTCCTATGACCGGATCACTATAAATCAGAATCCACCTTAATAATAATTAGGGGGCCCTAGTGGCACAGTGGATTAAAGCGCTGAGCTGCTGAACTTGCTAACCGAAAGGTTGGCGGTTCAAATCCGTAGAGCGGAGTGAGCTCCTGTTGTTAGGCCCAGCTTCTGCCAAACTAGCAGTTCAAAAACATGCAAATGTGAGTAGATCAATAGGTACCACTTCTGCAGGAAGGTAGCAGCGCTCCACGCAGTCATGCCTGCCACATGACCTTGAAGGCGTCTGTGGACAATGCCGGTCTTTGGCTTAGAAATGGAGATGAGCACCAACCTCCAGAGTCGGACGCAATTAGACTTAATGTTAAGGGGAAACCTTTACCTTTACTAATAGGAACAATTAAGATAAGAGATAGGGCAGTAGGATAGGCTGTGTGGGAGTGTGGCAAACGTTTAGTCTTTTTAAACCAAGGCCGAACGGGCATCTGTCAGTAGTGCTTGGATTGTGTCTTGTTGCCCAGCAAAATGAAGCTAGGTTAGATGATCCTTAGGACCCCTTTCCTTTTTCAATCGTGTACCCCTATATATTGCACGGTGATGAAGAAGACCAAAATAGCCGCATGGCACGCTTATTCATTCAGCCGTGGCAAAGGGACCGGCTCTCGGTGGGGCACCGCACAAGTCATGGGTCGGGCAGCGGAGGGTGGAGGGGCTCGGAGGTGGACGTTGTCCGGATTCAGGCCCGTGGCCCGGTTGCCATGGCTCCTGTCCCGGCCTAGCCCTTCCCTAATACCCTGCCAGTGGCCAGGACAAAAAGACCAAGCGGCGTTGCTAACCCTTTGTGACAAGGGATTCTCGTCCTATTCAGGTTGACGTCAGGCTGTCATCTGGCCTCACCCCACTCTCTGCCCCGGCCCCAGCACCCCTGGCGTGACCTTCCCAGCTGACCACAAAGAAGAGCAGGGGGCACCCAATGTCCTTTCTTACAGAAGTAAGGCCTTGGAAGGGACCCCAAGGGCCATCTAGTCCAGCCCCCTTCTGCCAGGCAGAAAGACACCATCAAAGCCCTCCTGACAGATGGTCATCTGAATAAAACCTCCAGAGAAGGAGACTCTGCCAGACTCCCAGGCTACCTATTCCACTGTCGAAAAACTCTTACTATCAAAACGTTCTTCCTAAGTGAAGATGTTCTTCCCTTTTTTCTGCCATTTGAATCCATAGCTCCATTCAACAGCTATACAAACCTCACTTACCTAGTTTCCAACAGACCCCTTGGCCTGTGAGGATGCCTGCCATAGATGTAGGTGAAATGTCAGGAGAAAATGCTTCTGGAACATGGCCATACAGTCCGGAAAACTCACAGCAACCAGTGATTCTGGCCGTGAAAGTCTTCGACAACACATTGCTTCATTGTCTCCAGAGCAGCAAAAAAAAAAAAAAAACAGCCTTGCCTCTTCCTCAATGGGGAATCCTTTCAAATATTTAAATATTACTATGTGCCAGAAAGGGATAAAGATGCTGACATTGTCATTTCTGAGTTACAACAACCCAAAGGTAACTCTTTTATGGTTTTTTTTTCCCCTGGGCAAGATGTATTCAGAACAGGTTTGCCTTGGCCTTCCTCTAAGGCTGAGAGTGTGTGACTTTGCTCAAGGTTACTCAATAGGTGACCATGACTGAGCAGCGATTTGCACCCTGGTCTCCATAGCAGGAGTCTAATGCCAAAACCACTACATCAAACTGACTCTCTTGAATATCTGCATGACTATCAAGCAAAAAGTGGGTGCTCGAATCAATATCATACGAAAGCAGACTGGCACAACCTGGGGATCACAACCAGACACAGTGAAGACATCTGCCCTTGCGCTTTACTACTCTGCTGCTGAATAGGCATGTCCAGTGTGGAACATATCTCACCATGTTAAAACAGTGGATGTGGCTCTTAATGTAACATGCCACATCATCACAGGATGTCTGCGCCCTACACCACTGGAGAAATTATACTGTTTAGCCGATACTGTGCCACCTGACATCTGCCAGGAAGGAGTAGCCAATAATGAAAGGACCAAGACAGTAACAACTCTGGCCCACCCCCTGTTAGGATATCAGCCAGCACTCCAATGCCTTAAATGAAGAAATAGTTTTCTAAGCTCTACAGAGATACTTGCAGGAACACCTCAGCAAACAAGAGTCCAAAAGTGGCAGGCTCAAACCCAGAACCTCAATCAGTGGCTGAGACCAGATGAGAGACTTTCTCCTGGGCACCTGGAAAACCAGGTGACTTGGGAGGCTCTGAACAGACTGAGC